TTACATTTTCATCCATAGTGTAACTTATTATTATTTGAAATTGCTTTTTATAACGTATTATTCAAATTCAATATTTTGTTATTATAATTATTAAACAAATGTCTCAACAATTTATTTAAATCCGAATAAGTCTTCAGATTAAGCGGGATTCAAACTTGATTGATTGTAGTATGTAGTATATATTTTGTGTGACCGTAGAATTATCAGTGATTGTAATTGTAAATTTATAATAAATCGCAAAAAGTTATGTAGGAGCTTAGTATCGAACCCACGACGATACCACGGCTCAGTAGCGCGTTACGTCTCCACCACAGACTACTAAGAGGATACTACGCATCCACGGTGCCTTGTGATTCTACGACCGAAATTATGGATCGCTTACTAGTTCTATCAGATAACTTTAATTGCAAGTAGGTAGATTCATTTATGAATGTAATTTAAATAATTTTTTTCGCTAACGGATTTTGTTATTCGTAATGAAACACTAATCACTTTTAAGAACTTAGTCAAGAGTTTTTTTTAATATAAATTTTACTACACTTTTCTGTAACTGGGTTAATATTAGGTTTTTACAAACATTATTGGTCCGTTATTATTTTGAAACGATATTATAGCGTCATTGTATGTTTTGTTGTTGTTACATATATCACTTTTATTGTTATAGTGTACTAAATAATACGTATTATAATTTTTGTTTTGTTTAGTTTAATATTTGTATAGTTCACCGTTTATTTTTGTTGTTGTTTTTGAAAGTAACACTCTGTAGTTGTTTTGATTTAGTTCACCAATTTGTTCTTTTAATGAGATTTATTCACTTCACTTTTAGTTTAATGTTTCACTGTTTTGGGTTATTTCGCGTTAAGAAAATAATAGGACAGTCTAATCAGATTGAGTATAACACTTTAACATGAATTTTACCGCTAGTTATTAGGTAATATCAAATTTTAATCGCGTATTTATTGAGTCCGTCCACTCGCGACCAAGTAGCTTTAATGTAGCTTCAGCTAGTGTTTGCCAATAGACACAAACTATGTATTCACTTTATTAAGTGATTCTATAGGTGACTCATCACGAGAACAGATTAATTGAAAGGGTGTACTTCTAACCTTTTTTAAGTTGTTAATATTTTGTATAACTTCCCTCCTTTGATTTATTTTTTTTTGTTTTATTACATATAACATGTGTATATATATGCCATTTTGTTCGATAACTTATTGCCATCTTGTAGGTAGAAGACAGTTCAGTTGCTGTAGAAATTTTGGGATTTTTAATCAAAAAATGCGGGAAGTAATTTTGACAGTCTTTTAGTCAGTTAACTTAACACTACCCAAAGAATTCTGAAGAGACCAAAACAGGTAAAAATCTGAGAATGCAAGGTCTCATGACTATATAGTGGATGCATTATTAACACTTCTCAACCAAGCTGTCCAAAGTTTTGCTGATTCGCTAAAGGTCTGTATGGTCTGGCGTTATCATGATGAAAGACCACTTCTTTTCTGTTGCTCGATTCCGGCCGTTTTTTCTCAAAATCTTGCTTGATTCTAAGTAGTTGTTGGCAGTAGAGATCCGAAGCGATGTTTTGCATAGGTGTATAAGCTCATAATAAACGATGCTCTTCTAATCCCATCATACACAGCATCACCTTATTGCGTGTTAGTCGCAGCGTGTTTCGCTACAGTCTGTGGACTTGACCATCCTTTGACCATAATCATTTTTGCACGATCTTGTTGTAGGTGATCCACTCTCATCACTAGTGATTATTTTTTGCAAAAATGGTTCAGTTTTATTACGTTTCAATAGAGAATCGCAAATGAATACACGATTTCTTAGGTTTCTTTCCGTGAGCTCGTGTGGTACCTAAATATCTATATCTATCTAATGTATTCGAAGTAGTAATATTTCGAATACATTACTTAAGTGTCAGAGGCTTTATTACTAAAATCTTTGTTTAGTTTGAAACGTTAATATATCTAAACAGCAGCAGTACATATTGACTTTGAAGTACGATTCCGGGTATGAAATTCTCTAGCCTTCTGATATTCTTCATAAAAAACACTTCGTTATCTTCTTTCATTTTTAAGCAGTTTTACACCCCACTATTGCTAATCTCTGGACTCGCTCAGCAAATCATGGAATGAATTTTGATTTCTTATTTCGCTCAATCTATTCAAAAGATTACTTAGTAAAATGTTAGCTTTCTGTAAGTCATTAATTTCATGCTGCATAGCTTTAAAAACAGGATTAATAATTTAAAATATTGAATAATAAAGGCGATAATTACATACAATAAAATTGCAGCTATTTAATACGCGTTCCCGAGTATCTAATCTACGGTGGATTTTTTAGGGTGGATAAACGGAATAACCCCATTTTTTCCAAATAATCAAAAAAAAATTGACACTTCAGCAACACATCGTTTAAAATTAAATTTATTACGTGTGCCGCACGAAGAACATAATCTGCATTTGGGATATAAGGGTTTGTAATCCTCCATATACGAGTACAACCGACACGACATTTGCTCCATCATACCTGCCCTCTACATTTGGATAAATCAATTCCATATTTTTTATGGTGTTTAAAATTATCGTTTTAAGTCCTGCACTACAACTGTATGCTGCTATAAACCGCAAAAAGAACTCGCAAATTTTGTTTTTTTTTTAGATACATTACCATAATTTTCTGTTCGAGATGTATCGAAAAACAGAACAGAAATTTGGTCAATTTTTTAAAGGTCTCCTTTAGGCAAGTTCCGCACTATTTGATGATATGATTTTTTTTTCTCCCGAAGTACGCCCTAAGGATTTAAGTGAGATTGTAGATAACATTTTACGAATTTTTGCATACACACGTCCATGGGTCCCTGTAGCCCGGGGGCCCCGTATCATTGATACGGCTGATACGGCGCTACCTACGCTCCTAGTTACATCCTTATCATACCTATGCAGGTAGTTGTTGGGAGCACTACGCTTGAAATTGTTGACGAGTATGTTGACAGATAGACCGACTAGGTAAGTCCAACTTCGACCGAGAGGTCAATTGTCGGATTCCATTCGGCTGGGCAGCGACACATCTTCTCGTTAGCTGTATCTCAAAACTTGAAAAAAATATTGTACAACCAGTGCATGTTGATAATGATGACCTATGGATCTGAGACGTGGTTCTTCATTGGTATGAGGAAGCTAAAGGTCGCTCATTGAGCTATGGAGACGCCTATGCTCGGGGTTTCTCTGCGTGATGAACTTAAAAATGAGTATATTCGCTATAGAACCAGAGTAACCGACGGATTAGTAAGCTGAAGTGACAATGGGCCTGCCATATAGCTCGAAGAACCGATAAAAGATGGGGAAGTTCTCGAGTGACAGTCTCGTACAGGTAGTCGACGCTTAGGGCGGCCCCTCACTAGATGGAGTGACGATCTGGAAATGTTCGTACTTAGCATGATTGTCAGGTAGACTATCAATATTAGGTATTATAAAATGTTTTTTAATTATGGTATAGAATAAATAAAGAGAGAATTGTTTTGAATAATTTATTTGGTTTAAATCCATTGGTACATTTCTACGACATTTATCATCAAGACGAATTACGTAAACAGACATTCAATATTTTTGAGAAGTAATATATGGATGTTCTTTCACTTATGTAAGATAAACATATAATATAAAAAATCATATTAAGAAGAAAAAATAAGACAAAGCTTTTGACTAAGATGAAACTAATCACTAAATCTAAAATTGATATTATGACACGTACTTTACGAACATTTAAGGAATAAAGACCACCGATTTAATGATGAAATATTGAAAATAATACTACCTACACGAAATAGGAGATATAAAGGAAGCTAATAAGTTTTAAGAGCTAAATTATAAAAACAAATGGCATTAACAGTCTTTTAAGTGCCAATAGCACTCTCAAAATAACCTCAGTAATCAAATAATATATACAAAGTAATAAACGAAATTACTAGTTAATCCTTGATTGCTAATGGAATGTATGTTCACATCCGGCTAATAATGTTTAGCCTAGTCAACTTTGAGTCTCTTAAATTAACTAGTCATTACTGATCTTATTACAAAAAATAGTTTTAAGGTTGTATCTGGTCTCTGGAGTCTCTTGCAATCAAAGAAATTAAAAGATCGTTAATATTTAAATTTCTTTGGTTTCAATATAGAAGTTCCGTGGAAAATATGCAAATTGAAACAGTATGAAATTTGAAAGTAAATGTCAAATTTCGCGACGACTGCGACGCCGCGTCAAGGGACTTCTTTTGTGACAAAGACTTCTCTGAACCCGAGATTATTAAACTACCAATAATAATGACCCACGTTTTGTAATAAGACCGTATAAGTCAAATAGCATTCCATTATACGCATCTAATGCCTATTAAGAAAGGTATTCTAATATTTATCTTAATATTAATAATAAAACATTTATTTCTGGATTAACATTATATTAAACATGGCAATAAATACTATTTATATTTTGAATTATTTATGAAGCATATTGAATTAAACTTATTTATGGAACAGTAGGATAATAATGATAGCCCGCAAAAATTCAATTCGAAATTGATATAAAATAGAGGAAGAGAAAGAACCTTTTTTACCAATTATCTTATCATCCTAGTTAAAAAGGTTACACAGAGCTGGCACAAGGTCTGTTCGCATTCCCTTTTATCCTACCTAAGGGGTGAAGAACGTATTTGTGCAAACAAAACAATGAAATATGAAATAGGCATCACATAAACAAAAATTCACAAAATAATAATTTGTAGATACAATTTATCTTACAAGAGAGTAGCATATAAGAATTACGTTTACACAAACAAGCCATAGATTATGATTCATTCTACTGTTATAATAGTTAGGGTATATTGACCAACGCCTATTAGTTTATCTTTGGTATGATTTAAATATAACACAACATTTAATATCGTAAACACTAATAATTCTACGTACGCTGAAACGTTAATAAGAATTCTCGGCGACTTATACTTAGTGACATCCTTGACGACGGTACAGACGCATTTCGCTTGTAGCCACTGCAATCCATTCGTTCCTAGCGGAATCGAACCAGGTCAAACCTAAAGTGTATTTGCCATTAATGTTAACATGTTGGCAGTGGGAGAACCACCAACCTCCCTCGTAGTTACCGGCGCAGTGGGTATTTGAAATATCCCGATCGCGGTCAATGGTTGAAAATTCCATGTGGTTTTGATACTCAAATGCGTCGCTTGCATTGCCTCTGAAACCGCCAACCTCCAAAACGTAACCAGAATCCGCGTCACCAACGTAGAAGTTTTCGTATTGAGCGTACCAGGAACTGCCGTATATATCAGTCATGTCAATACGCATAGACGAGCAGTTATCGACCGTAAGTTGGTGCATAGATTCGAGTCCAATCCAGTATTCTGATGCAGGGTTACCGAATCCGCGAACGTATTCAGAGAATTTTCGGTTAAATTCCACTGTGCCATTATAGCGGCGTTGGAGAAGCGTAGTTCCGTTAACGCACCAAGTGTCCACGGGGGTATGACCAGGATGGATCAGATAATCACCAGGAGGGCCAGAAAAGCCAGTACAATCTTTGGGAAGTTGGTTTACAAGATCTTCGAACTCTCTTTCAACAGGCTCCAACTCCTTCACTTCGTTCATAAGTTCTGGTATGGAAATCGTAGTTTGATTGAAAATTATGTTGTTGGCTTCACTCTGTAAAGAAAAAAGGTTACGATTAGGACAAATAATTTTAAAAACATAATTATTACTTTATTAAAAAATACAATGTAGTTTTAACATTTATTTCGTTACCTTCAGAATATGATCGTTGAGACGGTAAAAATGTTGTCTGGAGCTATTCTCAAGTTCAGCAATTGAATCATTAATCTTTTTCATAGCTAAACGGTCCATTTCAGCACGGTCGATCGCATTGCTTACGCTGACGGCGATCGCTTTTACAGACTGTCGCAAATTCTCTTGATCCTCCTTCAGGTACGACGATTGAGCGTTGAGCTACGACGAAAATAAAAAATATAATATTCAAATACAAAATAATTCTATAAATACATATATTGAACAGAAACAGCAGTCAAATATCTAAACTTACTTGAGCAAAATTGATGTCCAACTTAGAAATCTCCTTACGAAACTCGGGTATAGTCTTGTCGACCTTATTTTCAATACTTTCGACATCTTCTCGCAATTCTAACATGGATGAGTGAACTTTATCGAAGTCCAAAACTTTCTGTGTGGTATTAGAGAGATCACTCCGTATGATTTTATTTTCAAGTTCCAGAAAATCAACTTTGGCTGTTATAAGGTTCCAGTTAGGTTCCTCGTAACGATCGAGACGTCGTTGTACGTCAAGTATCTGCGTTTGTAAACTCTGTTGAGACTCATCTAGCTGATCCTGACTACGAGCTAGGCGCGAAATTTGAGCATGAATCATCTTGTTATGGCGTAATTTGTGAGGTTGTTCACGTTTGAAGTTGTCGAATCGTAACTCACGGGGTTCTAGTACTTCATTGTACACATCATTGTTTAACTCATCAAGCTGTTTTGTTTTTATCTGAAAAAAAAAGATAAATAAATAAATTTGCGAAAATGAGAAAATAATAAATAAGTTATTATTGAGAAAATCGAATAAATCAAAATCGATACGCGACGTCATTGACAAAGCTGCGATTGAATAATGTAGGATAAAATGAGTTCGATTCGATTATAGACAGTTCTTCACATCTTCTGTGAAAAGCTATAAAATAACACAATATAACGCCACCATATTAATTAATTCAATTGAACGTCCTATGTTGGCCTGGGACATATAGGTCCCATGTTTATAAGGGACTTACAAAAAAGGATCTGTCGACTGTGTTACTTGTCTACACTGTTTTGTGATTGTATACGCGATAGGTTAAAAATATAGTTGATACTCGTATAGTAATAATATATATTCTTTGCTTTAGGTAACTTTGTTTCACAATAACTTCTATTAATATAATTCTAAACCCATTTGTTTGGCTAAACGTGGTCCAAGTAGCTCGCTGGTCTTAGGACTCTGCCTGCCCACTCGGGGATTACAGGCGTGACATGACGTCAGTGTAATAATAAATTATATTATTTAGAAAATATTTTGTTACCCCAATTTATTACGATTTATTATGTGTATCTATTTGTTTGGTACAAGTACACTAAGCACATCATTTTTTGATTCAAACAATGAAATAATAATCGTTGTATGTAGTTTGTAAATACAAGCCAAAAATAATAAACTGGAGTAAGCTTATTTCACTTAAACGCACTAAAATAATATTTTAAAAATATCAGCGAATAGTTCTGTTTAAAGCTGTGCTAGGAGTTTATCTTTCTCTGGTTACGTGGAATAATGAAAGATCTGGAAATGAAACGAAGATGAAAAAGGAAGTTTGCCACGATAATGAACATCTTGACGGAAAGCAGAAAGTCCTTTACTTGTTAACATTCATTCAAAGTTATTAACGGTTCGGATCCTTTGTCTGTAGCTTTCGATAAGACTACCGTCTTACGTACTAGACGGAAAATGATTATTGTATTGTAGATATAAAATATAATATTTTTAAAACATCGGATTTGAATATTATAATAAAATGATAACAAGGTCCGCTGTTTAGTTTGGTAGAAAATCTACTATCCCATATCATCCCGCGGGTGGAGTAAGATTCGAATTGGAGAAATGAAACAGAAGATGGCAGCAGCATATTTTTAATAACAACTCAAAAATAATCAAACCCTGCGGTTGCCACCCCGGCTACCGAACGTGGCAATTATGGCAACTATCAGCCTTATTAGGCATTCTATGGGTGAGGTCTACGATCAGCGAAGGATTTCTGATAGGCTTAATCAACACCATTTTGTGGTGGTATTGTAATCAATCACTGGCAATAAGAAAAAAAAATAAGGAAAAATTTAAATTAATATGTCTAAATACAGTTGTCGTTTTTTACATAATATTCAATCGTATCTAAACAGTTTAACAATATTTTAAAAGTAGTACAATAGATTGTTTCATTTCACCCGATACCTTATTCTAGTATTTCACTAACTAGGCAAGTACATAGGTTTGCAAGCGTGGGAATTCGCATTGTTCAATTACAACAAAAGATGTTTTTTAAATGCTAGTCTAAGACAGCAACAAGTTTATTTATAATTCTTGAGCAATTTCAACTTGATAATGAAAATGGTGTTAATATTTAAAAATTGTAATACTTCTTAAGTAGAGGTTTAAGCAGTCAAACAATTTACTGTAAATACTTTTTGAAACTAGAAAACAGCACAGAAGTTCAAGTATGTTAAATTAAATAGTTGTTATTTCAAAGGTAGATTGTCTAGCGTTTAGAGTAATAGCCTACGTGCAACCATAGGAGTCGACAATTCAGAACATTTTTGAAATTAAGGCAAAAATTTTTAGACTGTATAAGTAATTGTGAAAGAATTTTTGCGGATTATTCTTCTAAATTATTCTAAAGTCTGATGTAATATTGAATAAAACTATTATTTACGGATTTTATCGCGTTTAAATCTTAAAGCTTAAGCTTAAACGCGATAAAATCCGTAAATAATAGTTTTATTCAATGTGTAGTGTTCGCGTAAAGAATCATGTCCAATTTTGACCTGAAAATTTTCTAACGCGTCTAGTGATGTAAAATATCTTATAAAATTGCCTTTATTTTGCTTATTTCGTATCGCATAATATAATTTTCCGCCAGAAAAAAGTAATATTAATATTATCATTTTCAATAGACGAAAAACGTTTAACAATGACTTTAAAGCCCAGAAGCCATGAAAATATATATTTAAAAAAAAGCATTTTACACATTTCGTTTCACAGACTACGAAAATCTTATTTATTTGTCATGTAGTTTACGAATGTTCAAAATAATCAATTGATTTTGTTACTAATCTTATTATGATCAGATACCTATGCTATTTTGTGGTTTTATACTATGGTGTGGAAGTTATTTTTCTTTCCACACCGTAGTATACCATAGTGTACAGTTAACAGGTTATAATCTGAAAAATTTATTTACTTTGTAGCATTTTTCCCTGGCCCCTAAATAAAAATGTGATAAGGTATTATGTTATTATAAACAATAATTGATTTTATGCAACAGTAGTTGTAGGTAGACGCGACCTGTAAAAAGAATCAAATGACAGGTCAATCAATGTATGGAAAGTGGGCATACTTCTTTAAGAAATCATTCTGATGTAATATTCTGCTTTAAATATTACTAGTAGAAATTTGCAAAGAGAATTGAAGAGAATAAATCGATTAGTTGTTCTATTTTTGTATTACCGTTTAGTGGGGGTGTTAGAATATCCACTACCCCATATCATCCCGTGGGTAAGAGACGCCAGAGGAGAATAGAATAGAATATTTGTTATTCAATATTGATTACACGTAATTCTTATTAAAACTCATTTTTTACTTTTACCACTGGTTCGGAAAAAAACCTCTGTCCTGGGAAGATCTAGCAAGAAACCACAGAAGAAACCCTGCAGGACTTTTTTAAAAAAAAGCATAGCTTACAATATTATATATTATATAATATTTATTAACTTGTAATGAAAATATTTAGAAACATCATAGTAGCAATCACCTCATTTCTATACCTCATACATTCAATCATGTAACATAACATAACATAACATAAACAATTTTTGCTTCATAAATATTTTAAACCTTTTTGATAGATAAGGTCTGCATATTTTCTGGAGTTTTGTTGTAAAAACATTTTCTCATAAAGAAATTACTGACTCTTTGGATTCGAATAACTTGTATAACTAAATTGTGCTTGTACTCATTATTTACAGTATAAAAAATCACGATTATTAATAAAATTATTCTTGTTTTTCTGTACATATATTCAATTGTCGTCAATAAATTTAGTGGCCAAAATTAATATATTTATTTCTTTAAAATTTTCTCTAATGTATTCCTTCGGACCTAAGTTATAAATTGCTTGCATGGCTCTCTTTTACAAAACAAAGATATCGCATTACCTCATAGCAAGATTCCATATAACATTTTGCTATTGAAATAACAAAAATAAACTAATCTAGCTGTTTCAAGTAAGTCGTGTTTCGTGTAAGGTCTCTAATCCTTTTTTACAGCATATGCTGCAGAACTAAGTTTGCTAGCTAGTTTAAATATATGGGGGCCCCATTAAAGCTTCGTGTCAACTGCGATTCCGAAGAAAACAGTGGATTCAACAAGGCTCAGCGTCTCCCCATTTAAAAGCACACTGATAATATTGTAAAAGTAATTTATTAAAAGAGTAATTATTTACATCAAAAAACTTAACATTTGATATAGAATAATTTTACAAAAAATTTAACTAAGCGTACAGAAATAGGTCTAAAATGAGTGGGGTCCAATGTACTACCAGATTTAAACAATAGTATAACTATACCAAGTTAAGTTACAGCCTATATACGTCCATCACGTGTAGGGTTGCCAGGTCTTAAAACCAAAAAGCCGGGCAGACCAGCGAGCTTAGCCGGACATTTTGGTAAAAAGGTCGGACACCTATCTTAATTTTTTAATTTTAGTATAAATATGACAATTTTTATAAGTAAAACTACAATAAAATCTTTTCGTTTATGAAATAACAATAAAATTGAATAAATCAGTCTTCTTTATTGCTTATTAATCATTCAATATTAATTTCGATATCGTGTATGGTAAGTAGTAAGTACACGAATAATTTAAAAAAGGTCAAATTTAAAAAGCCTAACAAAAGCTAGACAGGCCGGACACCGTCTAATTTGGCCGGACACGCAACCAAAAAGCCTGACTGTGTCCGGCTTTATCCGGACGCCTGGCAACACTAATCGCTGGGCACAAGTCTCCCCTCAGTTCTGAGAGAGATTTAGGACAAAGAAATGTCCGCCGTGCTGCCCCAATGCGTGTTGGCGAACTTCACGTGTCTTTAAAGTTAAATTTTTCATCTTGCCAGTTTCGCTACTGATTACACTCGAAGTTTTTAACTTTACTAGAGGCATCTTAACTTTGTTTCTTAAATGTAAAGATTTGACTGTGAAACACTTTTAAAAATTGTTGTAATATTTTTTTACATATTCTCCAACACTACGATTATATGATCTTTCATTGTAAAGGTCATATAACTTTTGTGTACTCCTATGGGTTCATACTCGTTAAACGATTTACGGCTGTTTAAAGAGAGTGCTTTAAAACTAAATATTTTATTTTATTCAATACTTACAAGTTTAAATAATGATCCATATAAATAGTTAGTATTATTTTAATATGGAAGAAATGGCAGCTTTTTCACTATATTACTTCTAAATATCTCCAAGCGATGTTCATTTATTGGAACAAGCCTAACTTTCCTAATTTTCTGTTTTTGTGCATGTAAGGCAGCGAAAATAACTATCCACAATGATCAGAACTTTTTTAATAATTAATTTATGCAAGCGCTCAATATCATAAAAAATATTATCTATAAAAGTTGCACTAGGCCCTGAAATACGTGTTGGCTTCAAGAACAAATTAACAAGGTTGTATGGATT